CTTGTATGTTTATATCACTGTGTATCACATTCCTAGGATACAGGAGTTGTATAGACTGAATAGAGTCTAATACAATAATAACTTAAATAATGTGTGGCAATATCTAACCAGAGAGAAAATAATGTAAAGGATATTCTACTGTATTTACAGGCTTTTGTTCACCCAATAAATGCAATTATAGGGTTTCCTTGGATATATGACATTTTACTAAAAATTATGCAATCAGTTTGACATACTAGAGAATTTTCAAGTCTGAAATTACCTTGTATTTTACAAAAGGCAGATATATATTCCTGTAATTATATTTTATTTTCAAAGAAAAATATATGAAATAGCTAATCTTCATTAAGCAGTGTGCTAGGCATTACTGTAATTATTTTTATATAGGTCTTATAAGCTTGCTATAAAGTAGAGATGAAGAAAGCAAGGGATCGACTCAATTACTTGAACAGGGATATAAAGCTTATAATTGGAAGAGGGAGGATTTGAATCCAGGCACTCAGGCATCATATCTGTGTGTAAAACTACCAGACTGTGCTCTCTCCTGGAGACAGCATTATTTTCCACTATATTCAAGTTAAATCTGTCACATTTCAACATGTACATCTCTTTGTTCTGCAGAATTTTAAGAGAAATACTCACTTTGCAGACGTAACCAATCTATAGACGTAGTCAGATTTAGCAGCATATCGGTTTATTTGGGGAAGTGATTTGCTTCAGGGTACACATGGTAATGTATGGGAGCATTTTTAACTATCAAAATATGGAGAGAAGTGCTCTAGGGCATCTACTGGATTAGAGGCCAAGATGATACTAAATATACTGCAAAAAAATATGATCACCCTTCAACAACAATAAAAAACCTGATCCAAATTACCAATACTGTTGGTAAAAAAACTGATCCAAATTACCAATACTGTTGGGGTTGCGGGAGTTTCAGAGTAAACAAAACTAATTCAAAGTATTGAAGAGAGGGACTTAAAGGAAAACTTATTTCATTCTTCTCCTGTAGATTTTCTGCAAATGGACAAAATGACTTAACTGTACTAGTAGAGATTCTCAGCAGCAGGATGGACACACACATCCACCCACACCACTACCATCACCACTACCACTGTCACCACCACCACTACTGATATGCTTTACTTCCATGATGGCTATCCTCTGTTAAAATTGTGAAATTAAAATTAGTTTCCCCTTGTTGCATAGAAGAGCATACCAAATAGAACCAAAAGTGCTAGCCCTTTGATGATTTTGGTAATATGCCTAATTAAAAATAACTAGGCTCTCCAATGCATAATTACAGGAACACCTAATACACTGTATTTCTAGCCAATTTTGTTTCAAACATAAATATGCAACAGAAGTATGAATGATCGACATACTACTCCCTGCAGTATCTGTAACTGTTTCTGAATTAAGGCTCTTTCTTGAGCTTAGTATTTTCACTACATTTTCCTTGCTGTGCAATCATCTCCCAGTTGGACAATTAATAAGTGCTTTTTCTCCACAGCCCTTGGCGTGTGACCCCCTTACCCTGTATTTTAGTATGCACTATATACCTTCTTTGCTCTGACTGGTTTTGGCAGTGACCCACAATCTAAATCTCTTTCCTCCATTTGATATAAGTGAAACTATAATTATCTAGGGGTAATTTCAAATTACTACTTCATTCCACTAGCAACTGATGAAGATTAGTGGTCTTGCCTTGCATCTGAGTAAGTCAGCAACATAATCACAAGAGAACTCAGCAGGCAACATTTGATTCATGTGAACTCAATTACTTCTGTCAAACACATTCACTTCAATAAAAAGCACAAACTTCCAAAATGTGTTTTTGCTAACAATTTTGCACTAAAAAAATTCATATGACCCTTAAGGGAGAAAAATAGCATGAATTTCATGAGAAATAATAATAAATAACAAGTTGGGAAACATACTTGTATAAATGGATTTAATACATTATTAGTTTCTGAAAATGAAGGACATTTCAGGAAAATAAATTTGTACACTGACAGCAGTTTATTATAGAAACTTCAGGTATATGTAAGTAAAGCTTAGAAAAACAAATGTACTCTGTACTTTAATACAACAGAAACCAGAGTATTACATTACCTAGTTTAAACCAGATTATTAGGGTACAGATAGCCAATTTTTTGTTAAATGGTGGGGGAGGGATGAAGAAGACAGATCACAGATTGCTAAAGAGACAGGAATACCTGAATCACTTCCTGGTTGTCTTCTGGGATGAAGCCACATGCTAGTGACCTGTCTAACATCCTTAATCTCTAATGTTTAGTGTCTAAAGCCTTTGGGTCAACTAATCTTGCCCTGCACATATATCAGGTCATAAGCACATCATCTTATAGCAAGTACTAACTCACCTTTCTAATACAGATTCAGCAAATATTAACATGTGACAGTCAATTTCCTTAAATTCCAACCTTTTTAATAGTTTTTTAATTAAATCCTAACATATTTTGATTGTCAAAGAAACTAAGCAACTAAATATAAGTATCTAATCGTATCTAATAAGTCTTTATTGGGAACACATTTCATATGTGATGTTTTGAAATCTACCAAAATCACAAAGACTGCCTCAATAATAGTCAATACATCATATGCCAATCACATAAAATTTAATATCTGGAACTTTGAAATTTGGCTTACGAATCTTAGGAGTAAGATTAAGTTAAAAGATCTATTTGTCCATTTTGTGACTCTAGAGACTTTATACTTGTTTAAAAACAGTATCCTTTTATGCTTTGTCCATTCTACTTACTCTTGGATTTGTTTGCTCTACCTCTTACCTTTTTACATCTTTCTCATTTCCTAAAGCAACATATACCATCCCTGTCATCAAGGAGTAATCTAATGGCGGTGGGAAGAATCATTGATCAAGTAATAAATTAACAAACAGTTATAAAATCATTACTCTAAATGATTCTAGGAAGGAAAAACATATGTAAATAGAGAAGTCTAAACTAATCTTGAAGAGGCAGGACAATTTCACTGAGGCTGTGGTGTTGTAGCATAGAACTGAAGGACTAATATAGGTTATCAGGCATATTGGCAGTAGCAGAAACCTGCAGGTAAAGGCATTTAGAGAATACGTGGTGAAAATGAGCAAAGTGCCTGTGAAACGTGGAAAGAAAACCATTGTGGCTGGTGCCTGGAGAAGGGTAGATGCACAGGTTACGGTATGTCTGGAGACACACTGGGAACAAAACCAGAGAGGATTTTATGCTTCTGAGGTAGCAGTATCTTAAAACTACTTAAGTGTTTAAAATGTGTGTTTGTCAGTTGAAGAGGAAGGAAAAAGAGGAGGAGGATCGTTCCATAAAACAAGATCTGCATTATTATAGAAGCGACACATTCATATGGTTCACAAATCAAAGCTATTTATAAAGTTTATATTTGGAATTAAAGTTCCAGTAAAACTTGTTTACAGATTGGAAGAGAAAGGAAAGCCAAAGAAAGGATGATTTAAAGTGATAGTTGGTTGGTAATTTTATGAATACTTCATGATGGATTGGAACCAGAGTGTGAGTAGGAGGGAGATGTCAAAAATTTCTGGTCTAGCAAGGAAAATTCTAAAACATCAATCTCCACTTAAAAGTTTTGGAAAAAAATATGTTGAGATCATGGAATGAATTCCAGTCATAGTAGAATTTTAAATGAGAGATCCACATATACATAGACACCTGCAGGTGCATATTATTTAGAGATAAAAATTGCCTGAGGAGGATTTGAAAGCTATAATTCTTCAAAACAAACCACAGACGTTTATTCTTTCATTCAATAACTTAGCCATTAAGTAAGAGAAGTTGTTTATAAGGTCATCCATTACTATGTAGTCCACAGCCTTTAAACCACACATCTGCTTCCCTTCCCAGGATAGGGTAATGGTGAACTAATTAAGACAGAATACAGTTTAGTATTCTGAACTATAGCACTGTCACTCAGTTCTCTACCATTCAGTTATAGAGTATAAGAATAAAAGCCTATACTAAGAAATTTTCTATATTTCTATATTTCCCCAAGATGTTTTTATTACTCTTATTACCTATTTAGCATGGTGAAAATAAGTTCAGGTTCACAGAAAATAATGCCATTTTTTAAGGGAAAAGTGTTACTCATAAACTGTTCTTCCATTCAGCATAAAGTACATCCTGTTTTAAAAAACTCATTGATAAATATCCAAGTTTAAAAGGGCAACTCACCAAACTGTGGGCAAAATGAGGATATTTTCAAATGAGGAGGGAAGCATGCATGACCAAGTTTTAATTTAAAAGAAAAATTAAAACAGAAAAAAATCTCTCAATGCAAATTTGTTTGAAATGACCTTTTTGTATTGGCTCCATTTCCTAACAGTTATTTTCTTGGGCATTACTTACTAAGCATTTAAAATTGACCAGTAAATTAAAAAAAAAAAAAAAAAAGAAAAAGAAAAAGAAAGCATGTAATAGTAATTATATTTAAACAACACAGTAAACTAAGTCCTTTCAGCTTACAAATATTTTCTTAGAGAGTTCATATGGTTGAGCTTATTTCTGAAGAATTTCTAAAGGAAGTTAAAAGCATGCCAAAACAAATCTTATCTAAGATTTGCATTTGAATTTTACATAGCAAGTAAGGAGTAGAAAATAACTTCGTGAAAATGAAACAGCATCAGAGTAGCAGACAATGAGCATACAAGATTACACATAAAGAAACTAATCTTTGGTGTAGGAAGTTCAAATATAAAACTTCATAAAGCAAAATGAATATAAAATATTACACTGCAAGTAAGACTCTTTCTGAGTATTAATTATGTATATCCAATAAAATTACATTAAATCTTTCATCCTTGCCAGAAATTTTTAAATTCTGGGAAGAGAGAAATAATCTCCATAAATTAGCAAACTAAAAGGTCATTTGCTCATAATCACTGGAGAAAATGCATACACATGATCCAACTGAAGGAGACAGCCCCTGCAGATTGGGAGGCAAATGCTTACCTTGACAGGTGCCATTTTTCTCTTCATATCCTGCCTTGCACATGCATTTCCCAATGGGCACCAGCCACTCCCCTTCAGCACTGCAGTGCATTTTGGGTGGTTCATCTGTCACAGAATGGTTGACACAGGAGCCTGACACTTCGAGCAGTTGTGAAGAATCAGCTCCAGTGATTGTGTCAGGGAAGACAGCCAAGTGCCGTACCACAGAAGGGCATTTTTTGTAGTATACACGCACAGAAACCAAAGCAATGCAAGCACCCACATCTTGAAAAGCGAGATAAAATCCTTTCTTGCTGAGAGGTCCAACATCTCTGACCTCTGTATTCAGTTTCATGACACGGTCACCGAGATCAAGTTCTGTGAAGCTTTCATCAGCAGCAATGGTATCAATTTTGATGTACTGGTTTTCCTTGATATTTCTCCCATTCTCATCATCTGACTCAAAATAATACATGTTAAAAGTTTCCTTACAGGTCCCCAGTCCTCCAGGAAGGCTATTGCAATCCCGCAGGGTAAACTTGAGTTCTATGAAAATTCTGGAAGCACCTTCATTGGATATCCAACTGGTCAAAAGCCAGTTATTCTGATTCTGTTCCATAACTTTGCATACTTGGTATGTGTGGATAGGGGCATAATTCTCATCAACTTCACCAATCTCTTCCCACTGTATAATATAAAACAAAAAGATAAAAATAATCAATAAAATGGAAATTAACCAGTAAAAATAGTCAAAGAACATGAATTCAGATGTATAAAGTTCTGTAGTGTTGATATATAAAAAGAAGCAATATAGCAAAAATTTAAAAACTTGTGTTCGTCTTTTTAAATTAAGCAAATTAATATTTTATATCATAACCTTAAAATTACACACAGATGAGTACATCTAAACATTTTTCAGGAAAAATAAAACATGCAATAAAAATAAAAATCAAAGCATATGCAGTTATGATGAAACAGTGTGAAAAATCTGTATATTTGAAAGAGTTTAGTATTTAAACTAGCAAAGTAGATAATGGTTGAGAGAAAGAAAATCATTATTTTTTAAAGACAATGAGGAAAAAAGCAGTAAATATGGAAAAGAATGGAAGAAATGTAACATGTTAATACATACATATTTAGTTCTGGCATGGAACAAATAAATCAGTGTAATAAAACTTGAGATTTGTTTTAGTTTATAATTAATGACAGATACTTAGTTTTTTTTTTTTTTGCAAATTGGAGAACTAAATGCTTATGCACAGATGTATCCACAAATATAACTCTAAAGATAGATATAAAATAGAGACAAAAATGATAAATTAGTAATATGGAGAGTCTTATCATTTTGAATACTGACTTCTTGGACATCTTAAAATGAATTGATTATTTTTCATCAAATATTATTTATACATAGTGACCTCATGATTCCTAAATACATGCAAGATACAGAAAAAAAAAATCACTTATGATTTGTAGAACTTCCAAAATAGTGTTTGGTTGAAAAGTTACAATGCTATCTCTCACTTAGCAAAATATTCCAGTTTTGCAAATCTCAGGATACGATACCATTCTCACTTTATGAGCAGTAGAGAACCAACATTTCTTCTGAAAGATGTTAACGGAAACATAAGAAACTTCTTAAATCTGTATAGAATCTTTGCATATAAAGTTATGTTTTTTAAAAAGCTTTTTTAAATGGCTCTGAAAAACACAGCAATGAAACTGTATAGACATCAACAAATCTAGTATGTGACTTCAGACAGTGTTATAGATAATAAACTTAATAAGATCTCATTTCATTGCACATGATATCAAATAGACCATTATTTCTTGATTGTATTCAATGAAGATGTGAAAAATGTGGAATAACAAGAGATGCACATAAATTAAATCATATACCTCAAATAGGCTCTTTCGAAATTCTAGCTGCCATCAGATAAAGGTCAGTAAAAGGTGCTGATGAGGGGAAACTGCTGAGTTCTTTAAATTCACAAGAGAGAGACATCAAGATTTTATCTAACAATTTTCACATACGGTTTTATATAAGACTTCTTTCATTTAAGTTCACTTTGTTCTCTCTCAAAATGTATATAATTTCTACTTCATGTCTGATTTCTAAACCACCTATTTCAGCTACTTATATTTCTTCCTGAAGCAATCTGAGTATCAGTCTCTTTATTATAAATGGCTTCTGAATGTCATGATTAATATTTCATGCAGAGAACCTCAACTAACCAAATGAAAATAATAAAGAATGATCAACTTACTGTAAAAACTATTAATTAAATATGTATTATTTGAATTGGTAAAGTGGAAAATAGCATCAAAAAAGCGCTTTTAAAAAATAAAATCAAAATGCTACATTTATCTCTGTTTTCAATTTCTTTTATAACAGTCTTCTAATACAAAACACAAATAGATTGCAAATCCCCGGTCTTAAATCATTCATAGGGGACATACTTCTGCATCATTAGACCAAAAAAATCACACTAGAAAGTAAAAGGAATTGGTATAGCAACCTCTACCAAGATTATAATAAGGCAAGTAATTCACAGTCTTTGTACATAGTCCAAGGTACCACAAATATTATTAAAACTGCAAGCCAAGCAGCCCTTGACAAGACAGCTTAATAGTTACTGCTTCAGGTGATAATTTCAAAGTATGTGCATAAGCATCTTGCTTCTCTGAATATTCTCAATTAAGAAGCAAACAACTGCAATTTTCTTTGATGCTAGAATCTGTCATGGTGAGGTTTTATTTATTTTTCTTTTCCAGTGTTCAAAATATAAATGAAGGCTCACATTTTCTTTTTCTAGTGAATGGATAGATTTTAATTTAAATAATTATGGCCATAAGTGGTTGAGAAAATCAAATAGGTAATATACACAAATTTCCCAGAAATATCTACTCCTTTTTAGACAAATACACTAAGAAACATACAAAAATATTTCATTTATCATAGATTGTGTAGCTGAAGGAAAACCTTCAATTATGTCAAGTCTTCTTTCCTTTTAAAATCAAGAGGGCATCTTGCTATTCTCAACAAAAGTGTACATGAAGAAGAAACAAGAGGACTGAGAGAAGGTAACAGTCAACTTAGACAGACCAGAATCTCCCCTTATATTACATTCACAAACATAGATAGCAATCAAGTCAACAGAGTTTACAGTAACCTTTCAAGTTATAGGGGAGTACTTGTCATCTAGCCTTTTACCCTATTCTATACAGATGAAGGTCCTGGGTATAGCATATCAGTTAGTGGCATTATACCTTAATTTATACTTTAGGAAATAACATTAGGAAGATCTTTGTGATTTCTTTAGTAATTATATAAAAATATGACTAGAAATCAACTCCCTGAAGTTTTACTTTGAAGGGATCAAAGCATAATTATTTAACAAGATTGCTTTTAGCATATAAATGTTTCTGTGACTGCCTCTTTGAATTATCTATTACCTTTTAATATCACATATTTTATATAATTCTTCAAATGCTACAAAAAGACATTCTATTTTCCCCTTTTTATTCAAAAATATTTTGGATATCACTTTTATGATTTTCTCTGTATATACACCATAATTTCTAAGTTCACTAAAGGTGTTTTAAACCCAGATTACTGTCCTTTTTAAAAGAATACTACACTATGATCTGCAAAGATGTCTGAGAAATAGTTTGACTATGTGTTCAAATTTGGAAAAAGACACTTTCATCATTTCAACATATTCTAATTTCTACTTCATAAAATGTTTGTTCTAAAGTCTAGAATTTTTAGAAGCTTTTTGCTGTTACAAAGGTTAGATGAAATACAACATAAAGGTCTTTGCTTTTATTTTAATTAGCATTCATTTATGTTTGTAATTTAAAATTTTAATATCATATTTAATTTTGTTATTTCAAGTTTTTCTTTACAATGATTATAGTTAGGTATAATATACTCAAATAAGGGCCATAAGTCTTTATTTCTTATTTTCCCTATATGCATGTTAGATGATTACTAAAATTCTTCCTTATATCATTTTATAAGACTTACTGTGTTTACATAAAATCATTATATGTTAGATCTACCTTTGGGTCCATTTGCCTCTGTGTCCCTGGAGCCTGCTGTTACTGAATATATATAATATGAAAAGAACTGAGCTAGAACATCCTCAAGAGTAAATGACTTAGGGCTGTGATTATTGCAGAAATGTGAGGAATCCATAGACCACTGGGCAAGACTTTAAAAAATCTGTCATTACTACCTTTGATATGTTATTGTCAGGTAGAAGCCTTTCCTCATTAGGAAGAAATGCCATATTTTTAAGATCAGTACATGTTGGGTAAAAACTGATTCCTTAACACACCTACCTCTATAGTGGCTGCCAAAATACACAAGTATTGATGAAAAGATCAAATTTTGTCTTGGGTCATAAAGCTATGCAAGGCATTTTGTTGTAACTCAAAGGGGATTCCAGACTGTGTAAACCAAAACTAACAAGTATAGTTCAGTAAGGATAGCTTAAAATTACAGTAAATCAAGACACTTTCAGAAGATTAATTTTATTATTATATACAAGTATAATACCTAATCATATACATCACATTCACATCATTTTATAGATGAAAAAAGTGAGTCCCAAATTGACTAGTGTACTAAAAAGTGTCAAATTAATATCTAAGACCAGAGTATATTAATGTTTTTTTTTCTTTCTGAAGGGTTAAAATTACAATACATAAAATATGGTAGAACATGATATGATGTCATTTTAAACAAAGGATATTTGTTATTACATAATGAGGTAGATATTTGTTTGAAAAAATGTAAAATGCAGGCCCTTCTTTATTATTGAATTGTAACACCCAACTTTCCTTGATCAATTCACTGACTTTTCTATCAATACTATGCACAACATATTGAATAACAGAATATTGATTTTTATGTACAAGCACAAAATAGTTTTAAAAGAATAAAACATGTAATATAGCTTGATTCAGAAATTCAATATCTAATAACTGTAAAATAAAATATATGTGACAAAATGCATTAACTTTCAGCAAAAAAAATTAAGTCAACAATCAAGTAATCATGTTACATGTTCTCAATAATATATTAGTGGGGAAAAATTGTATCCAATAGGAGTTTGAGTTGTTTAAAACAACTTTTAAATTCATGAATATAATGCAATAGCATTGCTAAAAAAGACTCAATTAGTTTTTGTGTATGAAATAAAAATGAAGTAGATTATTTTATTGCCCACAGAATGGTACAAATATTTATGGTCTCAAGTACAAGTCATAATACAGGGAAAATTACTTAAGCAGAATTTAAAACTTTCAAATTTATATCCATGTACTCATAAAAATTGAGCATCTATATACAATACTAAATATGAATTGCAAATTTTTGTTAATTATTTTCTTTTCTCTAAAATCACTGTCAGTAATTATATAAAAAGGAGAGAGTAGATTCTTAATTTATTCTTCAAAAAATTATAGAAGTGCAGAGGAATGAATTGGAGATAGGAAAAATCAAAAGTATCATCAGAGAATGCATGCACAATTAAAGGTTAAGATTTTAAGCAAGAAAAATAATACAAATATGCACTATAAACAAAAAATAAAATATGTACAAATTTCATGAATTCATATATATGTGTTGTCTTTCCACTTTTAAAAAGATATATATGAAACCGTTTCAATGTATAA